TAATCAGAGTATATACCTCAGAGGGTTGTGGGTATTAAAGGATTTATTTTCATACCATATGTCCAGGAGGATGTCTGGCATATACTTCACAAATATTAACATTGCTATTCTTTCATCTCCAGAACCCAGAACAGTGCCTGACATTAGGTTTTGGGTGCTTTAAGAAAATCTGAATGAATAATAATTAAATGGATTAGAACAGTTTGTCTTTTTATCACATTTTTAGTGTTTGGTTAAAAATGACTACAAATTCCAGTTTGTATAGCCAAAACAGATATCAGTTTAAAAATACATATTGAGATAAAAGATAAGGATTACTTGTTATACTTAATTTTCAATGAAAATAATTATCATAGAAATTTTTAAAGCAAACAAATTTGTAAAAAGTAGTTAAAAAATTCGTCAGTTTCTTTTTGATCTTGGCTAAAGATTTGCCTGTAGAGTCAAGAGCCTGCTTTCTGGGGGTGGATTGAGAAGGCAGAAACAAGTGTCTTACAGTGTTAAACTTTTTATAGTAGAACCAACTTTTAAAGGAAACTATTAAAGTGCAAATTGTAGTGAAGATTAGAGAAACAGAGAGATCAAGGATGCTGCCAAAGTGTTACCGTGAACTACTGGATGACTGGTCACTTATGTGAGGAAGAGTATGAAAAGAACAAACTTGAGGGAGACAATTGGAAGTTTGTTTTTGAATACATTAGAATAATTTTGCCTTTAGACATACAGTGGAGACGTAGAATAAGCAGTTTGCTGTACCCTCTGAAGATCATATAAGAGGTCAGGACTGGGGTTGTCATCCTAGAAGTGGTACTTAAGACCCAAGACTGGATCAGTCCACCTGAGGACTTAGTAAATAGCCAGAAGAGAAAGTCCAAGGACTGAGTGCTGAGCCACTTCTACATTTGGAGGTTGGGATGTGAAGAACTGATGTCAAAGATGGAGAAGGAGCTTAAAACAAGAGAATGTAGGTCCAGGAACCAATGAAAGAAGTATTTTGAAGGATGGAGTGGTCAACAGTGTTAACTTACTGACCGATAATAGGATGAAGTCTATGACTTGGTCATGGGAGTTGGCAATAGGGAGCTTACTGTGATTTTAACAGAGTAGTGTACTTGCAGACATGATAAACAAAGCCTGACTGCAGTGGATTCAAAAAGGCGGGTGAGGAGAATTGGAGACAAAGTGTGGACAACTCTTTCAAGAATTTTGGCTATAAAGGAAAGTGAGAAATAGAAGAGTGATACTACAGCATCTATGGATATGCATATGGTATATATAAGTGATCCAGCAGAGAGGAGAAAAAGTGATTCAAGAAACGGTGGTAACAATCTCTCCAACAAACTCAAACAAAGTATATTTGCTGGCTGTGATTCCATTGGATAAAGTAATTAACATTTGGCTGGGGAAGTAGATGTATCCCTGTTATTTTTTCCTTCTTCATATACATGTATACCAAAAAGCTGTTACACGTGCATATTTTTAAGGAAAATATATATATATATAAAATATATATATATTTTATCCTCACCCGAGGACATTTTTCCATTTTTTTGTACAGACAGAGTGGGAGGGAGAGAGAGGAAGAGAGAGAGAGGGAAACATCAATGTGAGAGAGACACATCGAGTGGCTGCCACCCGCACGACCAACCAGGGCCGGGGACAAACTGCAACCGAGGTACATGCCCTTAGCGGGAACCGAACCCGGGTCTCTCCGGACCGCAGGCGGATGCTCTAACCACTGAGCCAAACTGGCCAGGGCAAGAAAAATATTTTTAATGGAGCCATAATAGAACCTTTGAAAAATAAATGGTTGACACTCTCTTTGCTTGCCTCCTTCACTTGCGCATTTTTCCCGTCAAAGATAATGAACATCCGTGGCCCTAAAATTCAGCTAAAAAAAGTTCATGCTCTGGGATTAACGGGTGTGTTACTCCTCCAGTAGTATTTTGATTTACTGAAATATTTAGGGTGAAGCGATATGAGAGATTTGCTTCAAAATACTCTTGTTGGAGAAAAGAGATGAAGTGGGTGGGGAGAGATGAAAAGAACTGGCCCTAAGTTGAAAGTTCATGAAGCTGGGTGGTGGGTATATGTGATTCCTTATACCATTCTCTCTGTTTCTGCATGTGTTTGAAAATCTCCACATTATAAAGTTAAAAATGAGAAGACATATAGCATGAATACCATGCTTAATCCAAAGAAATCAATTAAGTGGTGAAATTTCAGATTATTCGGTAATAGGTGAATATTTGGGGGCACAGGAATTTTTCTGACATTTTCAAATCTTATCAGTCACCTTGCTTTTATATATAGCACAGACTTATTTTTTAATCAGAAAGTGTCTCAGTTGCTTTAACATAGAATTAATTTGGATGCTTATTGCACAAATAATTTGGAAGACTGGATTTTTAAAAATGAAGGCTTGGTTCTCTTAAATATTCTCTCACTTTAGGTAAGCATAAAAAAAACCTTAGAGCACCTGTGTTATGAAATATGTTCTGAGGTAAAGTAATACTACAGTTAAAAAACAACAGTATTCCAGTTGGTTGTTACGTAAAAGAATAAATAGTTGATTATACACAGAAGATTAAATTACGTTGCAATAATAATTACCACTTTTTAAATTTTTTAAAAAATTTGTCACTTTTACATTGCTGTATAATTTTAGTTAAAAAAAGATTTTTAGCCCTGGCCAGTGTGGCTTAGTTGGTTGAGAGTCTTCCCGAGCACCGAAAGGCCACTGGTTTGATTCCTGGTCAGGACAAATGCCCATATTGCAGGTTCGGTCAGGGTGCATCGGGAGGCAACCGACCGATGTTTCTCTCTCGCATTGATGTTTCTCTCTCTCTTGCAAATCATTGCAAATCAATAAAAACATATCTTAAAAAGATGTTTAACTTTTCAAAACTAGCAAATGTAGAAATAACAGGGTTGCTACATTAAGTCCGCAAATATTAACCACTAGGTATTTTTTAGTATTTTCCAGTTACTCATTAACCATTCTTTAGTGTTATTGCTAATCTAACTGTCTGTAATCTCCACCAGGGAAAGTTGAATAACACCTCCGATACATTTTCTAGATCAGAAGAATATTCAGGTTTTATTAGTAACATTCCTATTTTCATGATATATTCATTAACAAAAGTACACTATATAATCTGGGACCTATAAATTCTACTTCAAAAATGAAGCCCAAAGTTACGTTGTTGTGCAGTTTATGGTTTCTTTTGTATAGCTTTGATGTCCTCAACATTTCCTTGGTGTAAACTACTGAGCAAGGGAACAAGATTTCCTTTGTAACTGATACCTAAATTTCTATTCTGCTTTGAGCGTCTAATTTGCACTGTGAAGACATATAATTTGAGCCTTGTAGCTATATCACACAAGTACAACAGTTTATGCTGATCTCTAATTTTCTGAGTTGTGCTGGATGTAATTTAAATTTTTTGCATGTTTTTAACTGCAGTGCAAACCAGTATACATGAGAAACCTTTGTATATTGACAGAGGCTTGGAAAAGGATGCCTTGTTCTCATTTCGGATAAGCATTCCCTTTTCACAACTGCAGGTGCAAGGGAGCCCATTCATAATATTTGCTTCAAGTTATAGTTTCTGGCTGGAAATAGAGTGCTCTTACAGGAGAACTTGACTAATCTTTACAAGCACAATGAATAAAAGTTATTACTATTATTAACAAATTCTAGAGGCAAGTAGGACTTTTTCTTTGCCTATGTATTGGGAACATAATATATGCTGTCAACACAGTTTTGGTCATTTTACTATTGTGTATGTGTTTACTAAAACTAGAAAAACACTTTGTCACTTATTAACACAGGATGGAATTATACTCAGTGGAAAATCTGCTGTAACAAATGCACGTTCCACTTAAGAGATAATTGATAATGAATGTTATTTTTTCCTTTGCCTTATGTTTCACTTATTTTTAAATCAACACGAGCCAAAAAATAACCACAAGATAAAAATTTACTCTAATTGTTCTCATTTCACATAACTGGGTAAATCTCCTTTTGGAACATATATTAGACAACTATATAAGCAACAAATAAGTGGTGCTAGCTGGAGGTTTCCATTAGAAACCCTTATTTATAAGGTTATGACTTGACCATTTTAATTAGCTTCAAGCAGAAACTTGGAACAGCAGTTCAAAGCCTCAGAGAAAAGTTAAGTCTACAAAATAACTCCCCAGGAGAAGTCAGAGAAAGGCTCTAATAGAATTTAAGGTCTGGATGGCCAAACACAGATAAAGTAAATTAAAAAATAAAATGTGGCAATAATCATTGCATTGACCAGAGTAAGTGTTTGGCTTATGTATAAAACCAGGAAGAACTCATCCTAAATTGATGGTTATTACTGTTACTTACTATATGTTTTGCTGTTTGTTAGCAATCCCATAGTGTCACCTTACATTTGCATATAATTCAAAAGTGCCAAAACACGTTTGCACTTTAATTCATTCAGGCTGAGCACTGTGATAGAAGAAACTTGTATGCTGCCATCCTTTTCTTTCCTAAAAACAGATGACTCACTCACATTACACCAGTTTATCCTCAGCCTTGAATCAAATGCAATCTAGTGGTTAGACCCACATGCTAGAAAGATGAGGAGCATCTTTAAGGATGCCTTCAAGGAAGATGCCTCCAAGGATGGGACAGAACCCTTAAACTGGCTTCTGTAAATATTACTGCCCACCCTTCTGAATGTTCATTATATTGCTACTTCCCCAACATCCAAGAGCAACACACAATATCTCCACTTATAATTAGTTATTGCTGTCACTCCAGGGAGGAAATGCTTGACACCTGGCCTTCCTCAAGCCATATGTGCTGGAGGACACTGCCATACACAGCCCTTCTGAAGTTCAAAGGGCAGATGAAAGAAGACTGACACTGGGCCACTTACCTGGCCGGGATGCTTTTCCTGACAGCCTGAGACCTTTGAGGAAGAGAAGAAAATAAAAGAAACAAACAAACAAAAACTTACCACTTTGACCCAGTCCAAGAACAACTGAAAACACCCAGGCCGCCCGGAGAAATGGGGCAGGACCTGGCCGGCAATTTTGCAGGCAGGCAAATGCGGCAGTAAAAAAAGCCAGGGCCGAGCAGCACATAATGCAAAGCAGCTCGCGCTGCGCCCGCCGCCTGGCTGCTCTCTAAATGCGCGCTTGCGCCTCTCCGGCGCACCTTGGGGCCCGCGGACCAAGTGTCACTAGGACGTTTCCAGCAGGCCCGACAGGCGGACCCCGCGGCTCGGAGCAAGCGGTGCAGGTACGCTGGCCTGGGCACCGCTCGGCATCTCAGGGCCCCCGCGGCCCTCCCAGCTTGACTCGGTGGGTCCCGAAATCTCCGCGAGAAGCACCTCCTCCGACGGCCACTGGCTCGGGGTGGCGACGCGAGCGGAGCTCCGCAGCCCGCTCTGGGACAAAGAAAAGAGCTTTTGTTTCTCTCCAGCCGACGGGAATTCTGCTGCATAAATCAGCTTAGCGAAGAGCCAAACACAATCAAACCCAAACAAAGCCCGAAGCTGGGGGGAAAAACCAGCCTAATGTACATTCACTGGGTGATGCTGCATCTGTGGGAGGGGACGCCGGTGAGGCCGAAGGGGGAAAAAGTCGATGTCGCCATCAATCAGCGAAAGTTTCTTCCACAGGTGAGCAGGGAGGCCAACTCCACTTAGTTGCAGCTTTGCAGCCTCATTAGCTGAACAGCGGGCAAAGTCGAAGCGGTAGCGTCCTGGCTGGCTGGGAGGAAGCTTGGGTGCCAGCAGCCAGGGGAAACGGCTCCGGGAGCACCCTAGAAGCCCCCGCCGGCGCCGGTGGACACTGAATGAGGCATCTCAGTTCCCTGCTTGGACAGGAGTGGAGCGCACCGCTGCAAGCGCGGGATGTTCCGCGGGATGCTGAAGCCCAGCCTCGCGGGGCGGGAGCTGCGTGCCCTCGTTCTTTTGGCCCCAGTGTACAGCTCAGGCGTCCGGCCGTCCAGAGCCCCGGTAGCTGGCGCGCTCTGGGGTGCACCCCGCGAGGATGCGAGGGAGGCGAGTTGGTAAGGGGCGGGGATGTGTGGTCCTGCCCGGGCCCCCTGGTGCAGGGGGTGGGGTGGGGGGGACGCCTCCCGAGGCACTGATAGTTGGGCGCGCTCAGGCCCCTGAGTTGCTAGGAGACCGCCCCACGCTATGGAGAGTCTGGCCCCCGCAGGCGAGGCTGCAGCTCGCAGCAACAGCAAAAGCTCGGAGCAGCGTGGGCGGGACATTAGTGAGGCATGAAGTCACCACGGCCCACACTCGCTCTTTGTTTTGCTCACTCCAGCTCTTTTTCTCCCCCTTGGCTCTGATGGTTGCCATTCCCATAGTTCACAAGAACTTCTGATGCGTAGCCGCGCAACAGGAATCTCACGCCCTGTTCCCTTTCCCTCTCCTCCCCGAATTCCTGTACCCTAACGCTCACCTACCGGGGTGGAGAGACTTGCTCAGCACGAGTGGCAGCTGCGCGCAAGCCCCAGCCTTTCGCCTAGGTTCTGCGCACTCCTTTGTTTGGAGATACTCACAGCTCAGCAGCTGCCGTGTGCAAAGTGGAGTCCGGTAGCCTCACCCCCACCTCCAACATCCTATGTTCTGCGGGTGCGCACTGCCCACTTTGCTTGCAGAGTTAGGAGCTCATCCTTTGCCCCACCCCAAGACTGTCCGGAGTCTCCCCAACACTTGGAGAGTTGGGCCAGTCTGCAGAGGCTGTACTCGAAGCTGCTGGCCAAAATTTCTCGCGGCACCTCCACTCGGAACATCAACCCTGGGCTGGACAGCCCTGCTCTTTCCAGAGTTTGGTGGTGACTCTGGGCTTTTGCTAGTTACAGTAGGTCTTTTGACCTTAAGCGTCACCTTCCCAATAAAGGGAACAAAGAAGTTACAAAGGGCGGCGAAACAGGAGAGAGAAGCTAAGAAAGGACATTTCTGCCTGCTTGCAGATCAGAAATTTAGGTGCATGCAGGGAAGGCGTGTTTTGCTCGGCAACTGTCAGGGAAGCCGCGCACCTCCTTGGCTACTATGGCTACCAGCCTAGGCCGAGGGAGAAAACCCAGTCTCCCGGATTGAAAACAAAGCAGTTTCCAAATCAGACGCGGGGTGATGCTTCTCTTTTCCTCTAGGGGCAGGATTGATTCGTCCCGGTAAAATCTGATCTCCTTTTACACTAGCAGCCTGCTGACCTCTTTCCTAGAGCAGCCTCCTCTTACAGGCACCAGAGCCATCCAGCCAGGTCAAGGTGAAATATGCGGGAGTTTCCCTCCTTACATGCTTGACAGTTTCCATCTCCATATTTGGAGTAAAGAAACAAGTAGGAGGCTTTCTCTCTCTCTCTCTTTTTTTCTTTCTGTTTTCTATTTGTTAACTGAGTGAACGGAAAGTACCTGATTAATAAACCACAACATTAAAAACTCCCCCTTTTCAGGTGTGGACTGCACATTGAAGCCCACAGAATTAGCTAAGCAAACCAGGAACTCAGTTGGAAAATTACAAGTGCCCTGGATCTACAAAGTTCTTTAAGAGAACAAATGAATGATCTAAACCTGAAAAACTGGTACTTATAAATACAATTACATTATAGGCAGTGTTCTCTAAATATGTACAATGAAATCCAGCTCAACTTCATTATTTATTTTCTTTCCTTAGTTCCAAGTTTGAACAGCTATAGTTTTGCTTTTTGTGGTTTTAAAGGAAAGGCCTGAAAAGTGGCTATATAGGGATGAGGACTTGAAATTTGAACACAAAATGAACATATTCAAACTCTAATTAGTACTCATCCATGGGGTAGCATCTGTATTTTCCACCCATTATTTCACAGTCCAAAGGAAGGCAGCCACCCTTGAGACAGGGAAGTGCTATAATAAAGAAAAAAAGTCAGCGCATAATACCTATAAGGGTGTGTGTGTGTGTGTGTGTAAGTGTACTCTGTATTGTAAAGACCGACTTTCACATTTTGTTTTATGAAGCCCAAGCAACTATATGTCAGGATGCCGCTTTTTCTGAAGTAGTTGAAGAATAAGCATAGTGCCATTTATCACCACTTCCCAATTACAAAGAGATTGCAATTCTGGTTATCAAAATAAAATAAGACAATATCCCGCTGTGAGACTGTGATCCTTATAAGTTATTTACAAATAAGTTATCTGTACATTTTGGGCTATAAAGATAAAAGTGAATTATCTTGAGCCCTGCAAATCATCTGTAGAGTTTTCTTACAGTAAATGTAATTAGTGGTCTAGGAATGAAAAGTTTCCTTGTTTCCAATAAATATCATTGGTCACCACAACTCATTCTTTTTCCTGTAAGAAAATGTACAGCATATTGTGAAGAAATGTGGTACTATTTTCCCATTTTACCTGAAGAATTCTAACAGAGAAAAAAATGTTCCAGATTCATTCCTGTCTTTATCATGTTCTGCTGTCTTGCTTTGAAATTTCTGACAGCTAATTTTTCATCATTTGTGGTAATGAAAGCAAATGAAATTCACAGATAGTGTAAAAGTAGTACCAATTCAGCTATTCATTCCAGCTTTGCTATCATCAGATTCTTTTAGTTGCTAATAAGTCATAACATTAGATGAATTAAGTTTCTTTCCTACTTAAATAACCTTTATTTCTCACTAACTCACTTTATGGTGAAATGAATAAGCTATAAATGGATCGCAGGAATGAGAGAGAGACATCTGGGAGACTGCTCCTTTTCGTGTGTTTTCAGCCTTTGAACTAGATTTCGTCCAAGTTATTGACCTCGTAGTTGCAACTAAAACCCTATTCACATTTTAATATTACAGCTGCTGCTCAATTTATGATAGGGTTATGTCCTGATAAAACCATCATAGCATTTCACACACCTAACCTACTGAATGTCATAGTTTAGCCTAACCTATTTAAGCATGCTCAGAAGACTTAACACTAGCCTACAGTTAGGCAAAATCACCTAACATAATGAATACACTATAGAATATCAGTTGTTTATCCTTGTGATGGTGTAGCTGATTCCAAGTTATGGCTGGCTGTCACTGCCCAGCATCATTAGAGAGTATCATAATGCACCTGTCACTAGCTGAGGAAATCAAAATTCAAAATTTGAAGTACAGTTTCTACTGAATTCATATTGCTTTTGCACTATTGCAAAATTAAAAAATTGTAAGTCACACCATTGTAAGTTGGGACCATCTATATCAGAAATTGGTATCAGAGATATTTAATAGGTTTTAAGCAGATGTTCACAAGTTGTCTATAAGCTTGCTTCATCAACAGCTCTTAGGAGGTGATACAGCCCAGCCAATGGAATGTGTTATTATGACTATAACTTTAAACTTCTTCCAATGATAAAGAATAAGTCACTGAAAGTTACTTTTCACTGAAATATTACATAAGTCAGTGTTCCTCATACTGTGGACTGAACACTACCTCCAACATAATCACCTGTAGAGTGATTTCTTAGTTTATTTCAGGAGATTATGACTGTGGATCTGGTGTGGTGCCCAGAAATATGCATTATTATGAGTTTCTCAAATGGTTGTTTATGTGCTGAGGTTTAAGAACCCCTACCATAATGGATTAACACAGAGATTCCTCCAAGCCCTTGTGTGATTATTGACAAACTCCGGTATCAGGTACAAAGTCAAAGAAAAATGAATTGCTGGAGCCAAGTTATTCTGTGGATGATTAACACTGAGATGTTAATGTTTTAGGCTACAAGGCTTCCATAATTAGGTTTGGAAATGCTGGGTTAAAGTTAAGTTAAATCCTTTTTTACTGGAGGATTTTCCAGAAACTTAAGTAGGTGAACATGCAATTGTGTTTTCCAAAGGAAGAACTATTTATTTGGGGAACATTTCACATACTAATTTTCCATAAAGCACACTGGTGAGACTTAATCCTACTTTACAAATTTGGAAACTAAGAACCAGGTTGGTGAAGAGACTGACCTCACTTCAAGAGAACCACCTCAGATCAATGATGACTTTTAGTTTTAAGGAACCGAGTCAGACTGTGGCTGCCTTAAGTAAAAAAGGAAATTATTGGAAGGAAACTAGGAGCTTACAGAATCATATTGAATAGGCCAGAAACCAAGGGAGGAGGCATAAGCAGTAGCAGTAAGTGGCCAGGAAATGAGAATGCTTTCTAATCATCCCTTCATTTTTGGACCATTTATTCAAATTTCAGAATCCAGTTGGGAATGTCTAATTTCCAGAGCTTTAGTTACATATCAGTCTCCTGGATTTCTGGGGATGCAGAGTTGGGAGGAGGGGCTCTTGTCTTTGGCTTTCTCACTGTAAAACCCCAAGAGATGACATAAAATTGTCTTAGGTTAATGAAGGGAGCCCTGAAAAGTAACAAATACTCATTACTCACATATCCTGATTTCCATATACTACAGCTTTTTATTACAGTTGGATTTGGGATGATGATGCCGGTCGATGTTTCTCTCTCACATTGATGTTTCCATCTCTCTCTTCATTCCTCTCACTCTAGAAATAATGATAGTAATAAAAATAAATAAAATAACTACAAAAATTACAAATTAAATACCAAGATACCACTACACTTCTATTAGAATGGCCAGAATCCAAAACATTAACACCACCAAATGCTGATAAGGATGTAGAACAACAGGAACTCTCATTAATTGCTTGTGGAAATGCAAAATTGTATAACCAGTTGGGAAGATTTTGGTGGTTTCTTTCAAAACTAAACACTCTTACTATATAATCCAGCAGTTGCTCTTCTTGGTGTTTACCCAAAGGAGCTGAAAACTTA